GGAGGGGGTTGGTTGGTTGGGGGGTTACAGGAAGATAAGAATAATACTGCTTCAGGTTATTAGATGTAGGCAAAGGCGGATCTACGATTTAAACTCTATGTTCAACCTTTAAGGTTCTTCGCATGAACCCATTATATTTTTAAAGTAATGGGTTCATATCTATTATTTGTTGCAATTTTAGTGGATTTTTATGCATAAATTTGTGCTCCATGTCGAAAATATTGGGTTCAGATGAACCTGATATTGTAACGGTGGATCTGCCCCTGGTTAGAAGGGAATATATTACTTGCAGGAAAAAAATTGAAATGCAAGATGATGTATTTAGTGGTCAACAGAAGTTCTATCCTAGGTTGAGCTAGACGAAGAGTAGCTAATCCAGAATACTGATTAGGATAAAGTTAATATTGGTTTGATTATGTTATTCTTTCTTTGGCGGATGTTTGTAGGTGATTCTATCTCCAGAAGCAGATCCGCCGGTTGTCAAAATGATGGATTACAAGTAAGATATATCCATCAGAAGTTTTTTGTTGTCTCTGATTTTCAATCTTGACAGATGCTTCTTGATTCCTGGAATGATCTAGTTACACACGTGCAGAATTTGAGTATAAGCCATATGAGTCATTAAGGTCGTAATTTGTAGCTTGACACATCTAATAGGAGTAATTGGTATGCCCTCTGTTCCGTTTCATTAGTCCTAGTTTTACATGAACTTGTTACTAGTATAAGATTTAAGAGTGTTTACTATTTCGTAGGGTTGTTTAATTGTTTCTGTGTTCTTGGGAATAGAATGAAAGAGTAAAAATCATGAAATACGATCTGCTTGAGCTGGAATTTTGATTCTTTTTTACCAAACTGGGTTAAGAATATTTCTTAAACCGGAAGCCGAGCTTGTATGAAACTGTGAAAATCATATAAAACCAAGCAAGTTTCAAAAAGCATACTATTTGGCTTGAATTAGGTGGGTTAGAAATTACGATCATAGGTATATGCTGTGTTATTTTTGCTTGACTATTACGTTATAGTGCAAATTATTATCTGCTTATCAATTTTAGATCGTTTGTATGCTGACTAGATGCAATGATCTTTTTCACGTATTTCTTATTATTTTGAATTGCTAAGAGATCAGTGCATTGATATTTTGCTTTGTTTTTGGCAGTAAGTATAAGTATGAACTGCAAAAGAAGAAAAAGGAGCAGCAAAAGAAAAATGCTGGTACATGTCTTGCCTTTTTAGAAGTTTGCTTTTCGTTTGAAATATAGATCCCGTTTTAACTTCCTTTTACGGATGAACTTTTTCTTTTAATGGCAGCCAGCCGCATGGATTTGAAGGAGCTCAAAATGGGGTAAGGTTCCATATCATGTATACCTAGCGCTGATGTATATTGAGAAAATGTTAGCTTTTTCCCTAGTCCTTCATTAGATGGCTACTTGGTGAAAAGTTTTAACACTATGGCCATATTTTCTCCTTTAGTTTGATTTTTGGTGGTTCAGTATTTAAAGTTTTATTCTTTATTGTTTATGGTTTTTGTGTGGTTAGTAATNTGAAGGCGAGGAATGCGGACGGGTTCAAATTGATGTTGTTGTTGTCTGGATGTGCCTTCTTTCCTGGAAATAATTCATTTGAGCTGCATTTATCTTAAAAAAATTTCTTATCATTAGCGTTGCTATTGGGCCGAGAGGTGAGAATAACAAAATCATTTAATGCAAATATATAATACTAACACTAGAACAGCAAGAATGAAGTGCATGTAGACTTGAAAAACCATCGGCTGATATCATATACAAATGCAAAATAATCAGGCATCAATTTATTCATCCATAAAATCCAGAGATGTGTCTCTAATTTGTTGTCTTCCATCTGACTATGTCGAATGGGGCATACTCTAACAATAGAAGCCTTTTTGTACTTCTTTGTTGATTTTACCTTCTGAATTTAAGTCATTTTGATTTAATATAAAATGAGACTGTGACGAGTAAATTGCTAAAATAACATAAGACTGAAAACATAACAGAGAAATATAAGTCACATCTGCTTTGGCTTGAGTAAAGACATGGACCGTGAAAACCTTTTCCTTGATGGCTAAGAAAGTGAAATCCTGGAATTTCAGAGTTTTAGAGAAGATAGAGAGAGCATGGGATTTTGTGAGAGTTGAGCAAATGTGAAAAATCCTTGGTAAACTAGGAAAGGAAATTATTTTAGCTATTAGATTCTTTATTTACTTATTGAGAAAACATACTCTCTCCTTCCCAATTTATGTGACATTGTTTGACTCGGCACAAAGTTTAAGAAAGAAATGAAGACTTTTGAAACTTGTGGTCTAAAGTGTGTGGCTATAAAATCATCTCATTAAGGGTGAAGTAAGAAGTTTAAAGTTAAATTGTTTCTAAATAAGGAGGTATACGTTCTCTTTGGGACAGACTAGAAAAGAAAGTATGACACATAAATTGGGACAGAGAGAGTATGTTTTAGCTATGTTAGAAGATAGTACCGGAGGTATAATCTAACTCATTGTTCGTCTCTGTGTACATCAACTCTTCTGAGGTATCCTCAAATTAAGGAGAAGTAATAATCATGAACAAGTTCCCTAATGTGTTTATTGACTATTGATGTGGATCATCATAGAGTTAACTAGTATTGGCTGTTTACTAAGGATTGGCTCTGAGAGCTCATTGTAAGCAGTTGACTCTTTACAAGTATCTACGACTTGTCTATGAAAAGAAATGGCTATTATGACTTGACACATGAAATTCTAGTTACGGGTGACTTACCTTCCGTTTCTCCTTTTCAGAAGACCAGTAAGTCCTTTTGAACCTCACACACCATAGGTCTTGCATTTTTTACTTTTTTCAGAGTTGTAAGTATTCTGAAACGGTTCTTCTCATCTGCACACTACTCTTTTGTGTCAACAATTGTGCTATGTATCCTTTTCCTCTGTCTCTAAAGTGATTGCTGCTCTATCGATTTGGCCTCTATGAAAAAAAGCGAATGAAGTTTTCTTCCCATTTCTCTGTGTTAATAGGCTTTCTCAATGGTAAAAGGGGGAATTTCCAATATTTGTATTTCTCTTTGCTTTAGTTAAATTGCTTGACATATTTACCAGCAAGAAAAGTTAGTTATATTGTTAGGTTTTAACACACGGTAAGCGCTTCAATATCAATGTTCTCTGAAGTAAAAAAGACCAGTAAACCTAGTAGGTCACATCTTTTACGGTTGTAGCGCTAATCTTTACTAATATGTTGCGGCATGGTACATTTTTTACCCTATTTTCCCTCATTTGTTTTGGCCTCCTTTCCTGGTATCTGAAAGTTCTCTTGAATATTATTGCAGTTACAATATTGATTCTCATGATTATTCAGTGCGTTTGAGAGCTGCTCAAAAGTTTTTGAAAGATGGTGACAAGGTAGCTCGGAATCTTGTATTTCAGCATGCAAGTGCTTTTGCGAATTTGATGGTTTAATATTTAAACATTATTAAATGGTAACTCCTGCAGGTAAAAATCATAGTGAACTTAAAAGGCCGTGAAAATGAGTTCAGAAATAATGCTATTGAGCTAATAAAGCGTTTTCAGAATGACATTGGCGAGGTAAGTTTGGTGCATGCAGGATTTCAATTATTTTGCGTGAAGTAGTCTAACTCTTTTTCACTCTCCGGCTAGTTAACGTCTTATATTATGGTGCCATTCGCAGCTTGCAACCGAGGAGAACAAAAGTTTCAGGGATAGGAACATGTTCATAGTATTGGTACCGAATAAGGCTATTGTACAGAAAGGTCAAGAGCAACCGAAGAAAAAGGAAAAACCAGCAACTGAAGTTTCAGCCAGTGTTTGAGCATCAGATGAATTTATTAGCAGATAATCATATGCATATGTTTCTAAAGTGAAATGTGAGATGCCACCCTGATATATGTCTTGTATAGAATTAGTCAAATACAAGTCTGTAATAGGATATACACTTGTGTAGTGTCTGTAATAGTAGCAAGAAACATTCAAGTTTTTGTAGTAACATCTAATAGGTGAAGTTGAAGTAAGTTGAGCTTTACTTCACTTGTTATATTTCACGCGTTGGCATGAGGAATTTGAATATTCTCCAAGTATCCATGGGTGTGGCCTATCAGTCAATTAAAGGTAGAATGGACCATAGCAGATAAGGGTTCAAATATCCAGCAGATGTAAAAATGCTAGGTGACCTTTTTCCTTCGGAGAGAGGTATAGGTCGCGGGCCTGCTCCTTCCCTCGGGTCCGAGGCCGGTTTCGCCTTCAGACGAAGACATCATGTTATTCTGGACCCTGCTCTCGATCTCCAAATATAGAATCCCAAGTAGAATGAGACTTGTGCCCCCGTCTCATCCAATTGCCCTACTACAAAATAAGGCAAGGGATCGCTTACCATCGATCCGAGCCTATGCGAAGCAAGTGTACACCCTAGATTGTCTCCAGACCAAAGTGATGAAAAGGCGAGCGGTTCTAAGTTATAGTAAATACAGTTTTTCGATTCGTGTGTTGGTTATAGTAAATAGAATTATTTGATACCTATATTGGTGGGAGATAGCAGATACTCATTCGAGGTGCGCAAGCTGGCTCAGACACAACACTACCTTTACCCAAAAAAAAAGAGAGAATTTGGGTCCTCTTTTTCTCCCTTTCATTTTTGTATGGTTAGAGTTTTATACCAAAGGGAGGGATTTCCTTATCAGAATGATGAGCTATCAATTAGTTTTCTAGCTACACTTTCAATAGCTTATTTTGTGGGAAACTTTATATAGAAGTACTTGCAGCCTAAGCATCCTCTGACGATATTTCTTGTTGGCACTTCAAATATAGGATCCATTTCAAAGATATTTAATTGTGGTTATTTTCTTCCTTTTAACTACTAAGGTTTTTCGGTTCGCTAAGTTTGAAATGTCCATTCCGCTTCTAAATTATATGATACTTTTTCGTTTTATTAATTCTCAAAATATCTGACATAATACTATTTCTATACGGCATTTGCAACTTTCAAGAAATTAAATTATTGAAGTATTCATATCTTAACATTAATGTAATACATGTTTCTCTCTTTTTCAGCCACTATTTTAGTATATTCTTCCATCATTACTAACTAATATTTGATATAAGTCAAACACGATCGCACAAAATGAAATAGATATTAATTTTGTATATTATAACATTTCCTCTAATAAAACGAATAGTTGCCTGTAATGCCTTTAGGGAAAAGAAAAAAAAACGTACAAATTGCATGGGCGCCCTATTTGGTCGCCCATTTTTAACTTATACCCGTTTTGTTTTTCCGTTTGCATCTGTACCCATTTTTTGTTAAAAGTATTTTAAAAAGACGATTTTGCCCTTCTTTAATAAAAGACTATTGACAAACTGCATGACAAAAACTTAAGCATGTTTAGGCCGAAGTTTTAGCAAATAAACTAAAAAATTTCAGCTTGTTTAGATTGAAGTTTCGGATAAAACTCAGGACAAAACTGTAGACTGCGTTACAAAACTTCAGCATGTTTTGGTATGAAGTTTTAGCAATTGAACTAAATAACTTCAGCATGCATTAGCAAAATCTCTTTAGAAAATTACATACTGCAAGACAAAAACTTAAGCATGTTTAGTCTAAAGTTTTAGCAAACGAACTAAATAACTTAAGCATGTTTAGTCTGAAGTTTTAGCAAATGAACTAAATAACTTAAGCATGTTTAGTCTGAAGTCTTAGCAAATGAACTAAATAACTTTAGCATGTTTTGTCTGAAGTTTTAACAAATGAATTAAATAACTTCAGCATGCATTAGAAAAAAACTCATTAGAAAATTACATACTACAAGACAAAAACTTAAGCATGTTTAGTCTGAAGTTTTAGCAAATGAACTAAATAACTTAAGCATGTTTAGTCTGAAGTTTTAGCAAATAAATTAAATAACTTAAGCATGTTTAGTATGAAGTTTAGCAAATGAACTAAATAACTTAAGCATGTTTAGTCGGAAGTTTTAGCAAATGAACTAAATAACTTAAGCATGTTTAGTCTGAAATTTTAGCAAATGAACTACATAACTTCAGCATGTTTAGACTGATGTTTCGGATACGATTCATGACAAAACTGTAGACTGCAGGATAAATAACTTCAGCATGCATTAGCATGAAATTTTAGCTTCATTGTGAAACAACTTCATGTTATATAGCATGAAGTTTTAGCTTCAAGGTGAAACAACTTCATGCAAGTGTGATTCTGAAGATGAATCTGGACAAGTTTCTAATTTTTTTTTTATAAAGTTGCTGAGAGGAGAGGAGGAGATCGTTTTATATCTTTTGTCAGGGGTGTAATTGTCATATTATTACG